GTTCTGAAGGCAAAAGGGGGTCCAACCTGTTACTAGCGTGGTGTACCTAATAAAGTGGCCGGTGAGTGTATATATGTATAATGTAACATTTTGACATCCCGAAAGGACTGCTTAGAAATCTGGTGACAAGTTCTGTTATCCAGACCAGGAGAGACTCAAAGTAGAGCCTGTAGTCCTCCACATCAAGAGGAGCCTGTTGGGGTGGTTGGGGCATCTGCTAAGGATACCCCCGGATACCTTCTTAGGGAGTGTTCTGGGTTAGCCTGGTAAAAAGCAGCCTCTTGTTCTTCACTTTGCTTTGTACAGAGGATCTGGACTCGAAATCGCTGTAAATGAGTGCTGCAGGTTTTGAGAGACAAATTTAATTTAATTTGGAAGCTTTGTCAATAAGAACTGAATGGATTCATTCACTTCCTCTGCTGCCATTGCTAAACTACAGACAAGGCAGAAAGTCAACATCCTCGTTCACAACTCCTCTGTTTGCTGATTGGCCTGGTTGACATTCTACCAGAGAAATCCATTTTAATGGGAGAAATCCCAGATGAAGCAGACAAGGAAGATTAGAATCGAGTGGAATTGAGAAGGAAGGCAACGGCCAGGCTACTTCTGGGTATGTCCGACTGGGAAGAGGCCCCAGGAAGACCCAGGACATGATGGAAAGATTATATCTCTCAGCTGGCCTGGGAATGCCTTGGAATCCTCCAAGAAGAGCTTAAAGGCTGGGGAAAGAGATGTCTGGGCCTCCCTGCTCAAGCCGCTGTCCCCACAACCAGATAAGTGGAAGACAATGGATGGATTGTTTTCATTGATCCTATTTTTCTACCAATGTTTTTAGTAATTCTGTATTTTTAATACATGTTCATTCTGGCAGTGTGGTTTGCTCATAATTTCTGCTGATCTTTCACCATCCCATCTACACTCACTCAGCAACCAACCTCTCAGACAATATAAGTTTGGCGGGTTCGCGCTGTCTGTCAAATGGCACAAGTGCTTGAAAAGTAATGAAATGGCAAATAAATTTGCTAAAATGCTTTGGTAGGGGAACTAACACTCGTGATTCTTTTGGTACTCAAAAGTAAATCATCAATCAAAAAACTACATGGAAGTACGGCAAAAATGGTGGAATAAATACAAGAAAAAATGATAGAAACTCAAATACTTGAACTCAATCAATGAACTATGGAGAAGAGAAGTCATGATAAGAATGAGACTGGAGGAAGGTCATGCTTATCTAAATTACATGCATGTAATCGGAGCAATGACAAATGTGACAAATGTGTGGAGAAATAGAAAATGGACTAAAACCACCTCAGGAGGGGCTGAGAAAATCTGTAAGATGGGCAGAAAAGAATGGTACCCAGAAGAAATTCTAGGAACAAGAAAGGAATCTGTCTGGGCATGCCGAAGTGTTTTTACACATCTACATAAAACATTTACTGAATAACAGTTTAATAGGTGTAGCATCTGGAGTTATACACACTGAAAAAATAACTTGTACTTGTAAGATGTACTTGAAAAAAATCCTCTAACAAATTTGCACTAACATTTGTTAAGTAAATTTAAAATGCTACAAACTCATGTAATACAGTGGTTTGCAAAAGTATTCATACCCCTTGAACTTTTCCATATTTTGTCACATTACAACCACAAACATAAACATATTTCACTGGAATTTAATGTGAAAGACCAACACAAAGTGGTATACAATTG